GTATTATGACTTCAAATCTGGGATTGTGATGTCCCTTGCCTTGCCTTTGTTGCCTAGAACTGCTTTTGCTATTCTGAGTCTCTTCTGGCTCCCTAAGAATTTAAGGATCTTTTTCCTAGTTCTGTGAGGCATGCTATTGGTATTTTGATCAGGATTGCCTTAAGACTGTATAACAATTTAGAAGGATGGCTGTTTTCACTGTATTGGTTCTTCTTACTCAAGAACAAGGAATATCTTTCCATTTTCTGATATCCTCATCATCTCCTTTTTCAGAATACTGTAGTTCTCAGTGTATAGGTCTTTCTCTTCTTCTTCTTCCTCTTCTTCTTCTTCCTCTTCCTCTTCTTCTTCCTCTTCTTCCTCCTCCTCTTCTTCTTCCTCTTCCTCTTCCTCTTCTTCTTCTTCCTCTTCCTCTTCTTCTTTCTTCTTCTTCTCCTTCTCCTTTTCCTTCTCCTTCTTCTCCTTCTTCTTCTCCTTCTTCTTCTTCTTCCTTCCTTCTTCCTCCTCCTCCTCCTCCTCCTTCTTCTTCTTTTTGGTACCAAGGATTGAACTCAGGACCTTCCTATTGTGAGGCAGGCAGCAGAACCACTGAGCTAAATCCCTAGCCCTCTTTCACTTCTTTTGTTAGATTGGTTCCTACATATTTCATTTTTCTTGATGCTATTGTGAAAGGTATTGTTTCTCTAATTTATCTCTCAGTGAGTTTACTATTTGTGTACAGGAATGCTATTGATTTTTTACTATTAGCTATATCTTGCCAAGCTGTTGAATTTGGTTTTTAATTCTAGGAGTCTTTTGGTGGAGTTTGGGAGTGTTCTACGTAGAGTATCATGTCATCATCAACTAATGATAACTTAACTTCTTCCTTTCCTGTCCATATTCTTTTTATTCCTTTCTCTTATCTAATTGCTCTGGATAATATTTCCAGAACTGTATTGAACAGGAGTGGTGATAGTGAGCATCCTTATCATGTTTCTGATTTTAAAGTGAAAACTTTGTTTTTGACCATTTAGTAGGGTGTTGGCTGTTCATTTGTCATAGACGGCCTTTATCAAGATAAAGTCCTTCTATTCCAATTTTCTTTAGGGTTTTTTTTTTATCATGAATGGGCGTGGAACTTCCTGTAATGCTTTTTCGGCATCTATTGAGATTATCATGTGATTTTTGTCCTTGGTTCTGTTAATGTGGTATATTATATTTATTGATTTGTGTATTTTAAACCATCTCTGTATCCCTGAGATGAATTCTACTTGGTAATGATTTATTTTTCTTGATGGTTCACAGCATATTCTTTGCCAGTATCTTACTGAGGATTTTTACATCTATGTTAATTAAAGAGATTGGCCTGTAGTTCTCTTTTTTGGTTGAATATTTTTCTGTGATTTTGGTATCAGGGCAATGCTCACTTCCAGGGATGAAAGCTTTCTTAAAATCATGAATGCAACTTGAAATTTGTCAAAAGATTTTTCTGTATTTATTGAAATTATCATATGATTTTTATCCTCTATTCCACTTATGTAGTATATTACATATATTGATTTATGTATGTTCAAACCTTCCTTGCATCTCTAGGGAAAACCAATTTGGTCATGATGTATTATCTTTTTTTAATAATTTGCTATATTCTATTTGCAAGTATCTTTCTGATGATTTTTGCATCCATGATTATTTTGGGAAGACTTTGGCCAGAGGAATGCTTGATATGAATGTAAGATGAAGAGACCTTGGGAACAACAGCTCTGGAATGCATTGTTAAAGATTAGAGCAGATCTGCAAGGGCAACTACTGAGCAGAATCAAGAAGTTATTTTCAGAGATGTTTTCTCTGGTCATCATGCTCCTCCTATTCTCCAATAAGCTTCCTGCTTGATAAGCTTACTTAAACTAGGTTAACATACATCACTTAACAGGTCATCCCTTTCTGCTCCTATCCCATGATCAAAATTTATATATCAATGTTGCAAATTTTTTTACATCTTTGTTCTCATGTACTTGAATTACAGTGCAATTAAATAGCCATGGCAGTTGCAGTTCAGGGCTGTTTCCCTAAAGTTCTCTCATGCTGAAGAAGCAGTGCCTATGGGTCCTCTCAGTGATTGAACTAAGTCTCATCTCTGAGTAATCTTTCATTCTCCATGTCACCATGGTCACACATAGTCACACTCTACCCTTCATGGACCACCACTATGGCTCCAAGGTGCTTCTCCTTACCTTTGCTCAGTCCTGGTATAGCAAATCTCCAAGCTGGTGCCTCTTTATGGTTTGTTCAATTGTTTGCTCTGAGTGAGCAGATTTAGGGGTCTGAATGGGCTGCTGAGCCTACTTCCCCATTGAAAGCTATACTCTGCTTAATTTTTATCTTGCTTCTGTGGGTGTGGTTAACTGGAGGTCTTTCCTTGGTCTTATGATCAGATCCCCTCAGTTAAATTCAAGAGGGGAAGGTGAAGTATGGTTGTCTCAGCATCTTGTCTCAGTCTCTGATCACTGATCCTTTCCCTGAATAAAAAAACCCTGCTACTGCGTCTGTGTTCTCCCTCAAAAAGATTCCTGGAACACTGTGCAGGAACCCAGTGTCTAAACTGTCCATGTTTGCTTCTTTCCTGCAGTGTTTCCTCCTTCACTCTTCACAAAACTTCTTTCCCCATCCCGTGAAGTTGTGGTGCCTCAGGATGCCTTTGTGGTTAGCAGAACCTGGCCAGGCATGGCAGGGACTCCTTTGTGGGCACTGGATGATGGGCAATGGTGTGGGCACAGCACTCCTGATACTTAGGGGAGAATGCGAAGCCACCCCAACTGCACTAATTACTTTTCTCCCTAGGGTCTTTCTGTTCACAGCAACTGCTGGGAAGCAGAATCATGTAACACCCAGATCCTGAATCAGAATTGTGCATTGACTTTCACCTTTCCTAATTCAATTTTCTCAAGACCCCATTGATACTTTCTCAGACATTGTTCACTAGCTTTTAGTTTCTCTAGTGCCCTGGGCTGCAAATATCTCATGCTCTAGGTCTCTTCTCAGGGAGTAGGATCAGGAGGTCGGGAGTCTATTCCAGTAGACTGCTCTTGTCTGAGATGGTGACTTCCTCACTTAGGGCATGAGATCCTTTTCTAAAAGATGGTGTGTATGCTGGACCTAGGGCATAAGAGGTGCTGTGGTCCAGTAGCAGTTCTGCCTTCCTTCTAAATGCCCTTAATACTGGACACAAGTTTAGCACGTTTCTCCTTCACATTGCTTTCCCACATCTATCTTTCTTTGCCACTCCCATTGCTGTGTGCCTGTGTATTCCAGAGCACATCTTCAGAACCTTCCTTATGCACTACTGTCACGTCCTTTTTTTGAGACAGTATCTCTATGTAGCCCAAGCTGACCTTGAAATCAAGATCTTCCTGCTTCAGCTTTCTGAATGTTACTGGCCTGCACCACCACACCCAGGTTAAAGAAGATTTATGATGTTTTAAAATTTCTATATTATATATATGAGTTGTTATGAAATAGATTGTAATATATGGAGAGGGCACCATATAAATACTAAATAAAAAATGAGGCTAGCTACAGTGGTATATGCCTATAATCCCATCACTCTGGGAGACTGAGGCAGGAGGACTGCAAGTTTCAGCACAGCTTGGACAATTTAGTGAGACTCTTATCTCCAAAAAAAATATTTTAAAGGGCCTGGAATATAGTTCAGTGTGAAGGCCCTGGGTTCCAGCCCCAGTACTGTAAAAACAAAACAAAACAAAAATAAAGAAGAAAATAAAGAAATTTGGTAAGTTTGTTTTAATATCCAAAAAGAATTGAGTGTTACCAAAACAAATAGGATTCATCTCACAAATATGCATATGCCAATTCCAATGCACCCATCATTCCAATACACCCATCCCTGATTGCTCCTCCAGATTATGCCCAACTTTTACCTAGTCTCCTCCTAGAGCAGAGCAGCTGAGTGGCTTTAGTGATCAAATAAAGTCCATTTGACTCTGTCCACATGCAAAAGCTACTTTGCTTGACACCATCCACATGGACCTGTTGGCATTTGAGTTTGCATGCCCTTCCTTAAGCCTTTCATAGGTGACTCTATGATGACATTTCTGTCCTTTCTAATACCAACAGTGCAGCATGGCACTTCTTGGTGCTCATATTATATTCTGTTTATATACAGACCACATGGCTCAAACCCTAATTTGTCATCCTTCCTGAGATTTTGTGTGTCACAGGTCAGGTCTTCTAGAAGCTGGCTAACACAGGTTCTACATGCAAGTGTATTGGAAAGCACTCTCAGGCACTATGATGAAGAGAAAAGAGTTGAGCAAAGAAAGATGTTTCCTAGAAGCCTCACATGACTCTGCACGGAACTCTGGAACTAAGATTGCCTTCCAGGATCAAACTGAGGCACGTGGTCTGGCTTTATACCCTTGATTGATCAGTTGATATTGGGAGGCAGACTGGTCCTCAAAGAAGAGGGCATAACTTTAGGCAAGATAGCTGTCCTGAGCCATGGCAAGCTCCTGCAGAGGGACACTACTGAGAACTGTCACCTGCTGATTTTTCCAGCATCTATTGCAGGAAAGTTTCTGTCTTCTTCTCTTTGTCACCTGGTAGCCTCAGCTTTCCTTCCACATTGCCCATGCTGTGCATGGATGTGATGGATTAAATCAATGTGTTAATCTGAATAACTCTGATTAGATTTTTTTCCATATTGGGGATTGAACCCATGGCCTTTGCTTCTTTTTTATTTTGAGATAAGTTCTCACTAAGTCATTAAGTTGCCTGGGCTGGGCTTAAATTTATGAGCATCCTGCTTCAGGCTCCCAGAGTGCTGGGAGTGTAAGATTGCACCATCACACCTGGCTGGGAAAGACTTTGCTTGTTTGTTTGTCTCAGAAAGGCACATTTGTTTCTGACCCAGTCAAATATGGATCAGTTGGATTTTAAAGTATTTATGCTAATGTCCAACAGGTTCCCAGGTTGCAGAGCCCTCATCTGGAGTTGGCCACATTATCCTAGCACTTCCCATGACAGGGGCACTTTCCCAGGAAGTTCCTCAGTGCCCCGGCCACTTCCTTGTTTCTCAGACTGTAGATGAGAGGGTTGAGCATGGGGGTGATCATGGTGTAGAAGGCAGAAACCACCTTGTCTTGCTTGGAGGAGTGATAGGCCTGGGGCCGCATATAGGTGACCATGGCTGCCCCGTAGAAGAGGGAGACCACCATCATGTGGGAGGAGCAGGTGGCAAAGGCCTTTTGTCGCCCTTCTGCAGAGTGCATTTGGACCACAGCCACCAAGATCTTCAAGTAAGAGGCGGAGATGACAGAGAAAGGCAGCAGCAGCATGAGAACACAGCACACATAGATCATGGTATCATACAGGGAGGTGTCCGCGCAGGCCAGTTTGAGCACTGCGGGGACCTCACAGAAGAAATGGTCAATCTCCTGTGAGCCACAGTAGGGGAAGCGCAGTGTAAAGACTGCCTGGATCAGCCCATCCACCAGCCCAAACAGCCAGGACCCTGCCACCATGAGCCAGCATGTGCGGGGACTCATGACTATCGAGTACCTCAGCGGGTTGCTGATGGCCACATAGCGGTCGTAGGCCATGAAGGCCAGCAGGAAGCACTCATCCCCCAGCAGGGTGAGGAAGAAGAGGATCTGCAATCCACAGCCTGTGAAGGAGATGTAGCCACCGCCCAGGAGGAAGTCGGCTGCCATCCGAGGCACGATGGTGGAGATGAGCATGAGATCCATGAGCGACAGCCAGCTGAGGAAGAAGTACATGGGACTGTGCAGGCGGGAGTCCATGCTGATGAGAAGAATCATGAGCCCATTTCCAGAGAGTGCCACCAGAAACATGGCCACGATGATGGAGAAGAGGAAGATATGCAGCTGCGAGTGGGTGAAGAGGCCCAGGAGGATGAAGTGGGAGATGAGAGTCTGGTTCCCCACCCAGGCCATCATTCCTGTATGGGATGCACTGGAGATCTGCAAGCAGGAAGTTCACATTTATTGTCTTAACTTTGAGGACATAACATTTTTGCCTGATGTGTTATCCTCTTTGACTTGGTTTAGAATAAAAAACGTGGGATCTTTAGAGGGGAAAAGCAATTTCTAATGAATGTTGTTGATGGTAGTTGTGAAATTCTAGGACTTTTTTTCTTTTTGTTCAGTACTGAGAATTGAACCTCAGGGAGTGCTGAGCTACATTTCTAGCCCTTCTTTAAATTTTAGCAGATGAGTCTTGCTATGTTGCCCAGGCTGGACTTGAATTTGCAATCTGCCCACCACAGCCTCCTGAGAACCTGGGATTACAGGTGTGTATGCCAGCATGCATGACTAGCTTCTAGGACTACCTGTACACAGCAGAGAAGTGGATTTTAAGGTATTTATGCTAACATATAAAATGCTTCTGCTTCTGCTAGAAATTGGTTTATTTTCTGGCCCTTGTGTTTGCTTCTTCTAAGAAGTCCTAGGTCAACAGCCTCAGTCAAGGATTTACTTTTTTGGGGGAAAGTAATTGAAAAGCAAAATTTATTAGCTGTGTAAACTGGGCACTTTGCATATCCTTTCTAAACCTGTTTCCTTTTCCAAAGTTGAAATAACAATACTGCTATATATTATAGGGTGATAGGAAGGATCACATGTGAGAACATAAGCAATTTGTAGCAAAGTAGAATTGAACACAGCTGTCATTACTGGAGATTTCTTATGTGACAAGCACAGTGATGAACACACTGCTATATCCTCACAATTAATTCTTATAACTCCTCTGAAAGAAAAGGATGATCATTATCTCATTACACAAATGATGAAACTGAGTCAGAGAGATATTTTCAGGTATGAAAGCTTGAGGTATTTTTAAGTTACTTACAAAGTGAAAAACTGGAGACAGCTCAGATGCCCAACTTAAAGAACTAACTAGGTCAATTAGGGTATAGTCACATGTAAAATAGTATTTTGTCAATGAGATGTCCATGACATTTTAATTAATAGAAAAATGTTTACTAAGTATTCTTAAGTATTTTCTAAAAGCTGGAAAAAAATACTACAAGATATTATCACCCTAGCTCTTCTCCTTCTAGGTATCTTCTCAGAAGAGTTAAAGACATCATATTACAGTGATACACACATATTCATGTTATAGCAGCACAATTTACATAGTTAAGGGAGAGGCCTATTTGTTCATCAGCAGATGAATGGGTAAAAAAATGTGCTATTTACACAATGGAGTACTACTCTGCCAAAAAGAATAAACTTGAATCACTTGTAGGAAAATGGGTGCACCTTGAGACAATGTTAAGTGAAATAAACCATAAACACAAGCTTAAATATCACATTGTCTCTGTTATATAAGAAAAGCAAAATGTATACAAAGAGCAAAATAAAAGATAGATAATAGGAATAAGGAGATAGATCTTTAGCAAATGGGAATGGGGCCAAAAGATTATGTGAAGGGGGCTCAAGGGGAGGGGAAGAGCATAAAAAAGAATTAAGACATTTTATGTACAGGTACAAATTCCCCATGAGAAATGTGATTATTATGTACTACAAACATGTACTATTAAAAAGTAAAAATTGAAAATAAGAAAGTGATTGTTACTTAATAAAAACTGGATTTATAAGTCTTATATAACACAATTTTGAAGTTTGAAATAAAGGCTTATATTTTTTGACAAGGAATACCTTATTCAAAACTTTAACATAAACTGTAGTCTGTAGGAAAGAATCTTAATGCTAAAAATTATAAAATTTTACTGAAAATCACTTTTAAAGGCCTGAATAAATCTATACATGTTTTTAGATAAAGGTTCAATACTGTAAGAATGTAATTTCTTCTCAAAATTTATCTATTAAATCCATATGATCACAATTAAAATCCCAATAAAATATTTATACTTTAATAATGGAAGTGTAGAGGTTAAAATTCTCTCAGGATTCCCTCAAAATCAGAAAGAAGATTGAGAACAGTTGCATCTCAGAAGTCCCTCAAAATCAGAAAGAAGATTGAGAGAAGATATATGTTTCTGGTCAGACAAAGTTGATCCACTGAAAGGTGAACACACAAAGTATCTCAAGGTGCAATACCAGTGGAGACCACGGAGGAATAAAAGAGAAAATAGAAAAATAGGACACTCCTAGGCATAAACCTGAAGGTGCCCTCTCCAAAGAGAAGGGAAAAACTGAAGTTTCTAGTTCACAACAGTAGAAGCAGGTGCGCACACAAGGAATCTCTCAGGACCTGGTTTATTCCAAAGGCAAAAAAGAAATTAAGCAAAGAATCACATGAACCAACCATACACGCAAGAAGAATTCTGCTTTTGTGGCAGGGAAAGGAGAGAAGATTTGCTTTAAGGATAGCCCTATGGTTTTCCATCTCAGTAGGATAAAGTTTACCCTAATGAAGAACTCTAGCTCTGGGTTAAAATGAATGATTAGGCTGTTTCTTTCTAGTGGCAAAATCTCACCAGAAGGAGAGTAATCAGATATAATGCAAACAAGTCAGAAGACAATAACAGCAATACCAAAAACACTTTTTGTGGACACTGGAAGCAATTGGGTGGGTGGTTACTGACCTGGAAGCCTAAAAACATTGAGTTCTAAACTGGCAATAGTAACCACAGTAAGAGAACAGTAACCACAAAATCAGCCCCAGCAGAAGTGCAGGTGAAGGAACATCAAAAAAGGGATTGCTTGAAAATGTACCAAAGAAACACACAGATGGGCACTGTACTCCCTTGCCCTGGCAGAAAGCACAAGACTGATCCTCCAGGGCAGGTGAACCAAGAGTTCCAGCTCAGGGAGAAAGCAAGGCGCCTGGCATCTCCCACTTAGCTCCTACACCCAGATTTATTTCCTACTGGCAGAAATTAGAACTCTTCTCCTGCGCCCAGCCAGGATTTTGGCCCAGAAAATATCTAAGGATAGTAATGTTGAAAGTTAAAAAAAAATCCTTATCACTCAAAGTAAGGCCACAATTACCATGTACTACCCACATCCTTAAAGGAACTGGGTACCCAGCATGAATATGAGCAGACAACCAAGGGACCACAGATACCAAAAAGTTTCCTCAAGAAAAGGAAAACCAACAAAGAAATGTGGAGGAACAAGGAGACTCTTCAGGGAAACAAAAAGTTCTAAAATTTTTTTAGTAACATGAATGAGATAAAGGAGATACTACAAAAAAACAAGAATAGGATGCTATAGAAAAAAGTAGCCGTCACAGGACAAAAAGATTATTTAGAAGTAGAAATACCTTTCTGAGTGGTTCTACTTAAAATAAGTTTTCTCACAGATATATTTACACATATCCAAAAATGGCTTATAGACAAGAAGTAAATAAGACACATGATGATTTTGCTTCTTTAGCGTGGATATAGAATTTTCTCTGAATTATATTATTTTAAGAAGTATAACAATGTGAGCTGGATGTGGTGGCACCAGACTATTATAGTAAATTATACACTCATATCATTATACTGGTCTATACATGTGGCTCAGTGGCAGACTGCTTGCCTCACATATATAAGACCCTGAGTTCAATCTAATTGTACTGAATCATATATCTCATAATATATCGGGTACAATATTGTATGGTAATATTATACATTATTACATTTTGGATATATTTGTGAAAAGAAAATGTATGTATATGTATATACACATATATCCATAACTAAATTTTCTGGAATAAAACACAAGAAGCTAAAAGTACTGCCTCAAAGGAAAATATCAGAAAAATCAGATTGCTGAGATTGAAAGAGAAATGTCTTTAGGTACACAATACGTCACCTTTAGAATTTTAATCTTTGTTAGACAAGAACTTAGTTTAAATAAATATCTGAATGTAATGTTAAAGCAACGCCCAATGAGATTGTCATGGAAATTGATAAGGCAAGAATCAAAATGCATGCACAACGCATTCTAGTTACTTAATTATCTACTATATAACCAAAATAATTTTGGACCAAAAAAAATCTAGGACCTGGACTTGGTGGTACAAAGCTGTGATCCCAGCACTAAGGGAGGGTGAGGCAGAAACATCACAAGTTTGAGCCCAGCCTTAGCAACTTAAAAAATTAGTGTCTCAGAATTTAAAAAAAATAAAAGAGGTGGGGATGTAGTTCAATGCAAAGGCCTAGGGTTCAGTCCCAAGTACTGAAAACAGTAAAGCCTGGAAACTTGCCTTATTAGTTACCAAAATACAATATAAATATAATATAATATACAATATATACACAATATAAAGCTATGTCAATCAGGCTGGGTAAGAGTTCTGCCACTGAGCTATGGTCCAAGCCCTGTGTCACATTTTAAACACATAAAACAAATAATGATTAGAAAATGTTTTGAAAAGAGTAAAAGCAGTAAACTCACTTTTAATGAAAATGTAACACTGCACACTATTCTGTGTCACCTTTGAGAGACATAAAAGGAGAAAACGGATTAGAATATTGGAAATGCTTTTCATCTAGAAGACGGAAACTGTAAGAAACAAAGACACAATACAGAGGGCTGGGACAATAAACATCTTGAGAAAAAGTGCCAAGACGGCGAGATAGAAGCGTCAGGGGAAAGAAGGGAAAGGCGCCTGCATGAAGACGGCAGCCAGCTGAGGCCCAGAGTACTCCCATAATCAGCATTGTCATGAGCCCCTGCCTTCTGAGACATTGAGGTTGCTGTGAAAGTCAAGCATCTCTCTTCCCATGCTGCCAGGAAAGGCTGCAGAGCACACTGCAGTGCCATCCTGCCCTTCATACTCTCCATGCAACCTGCTCCCTTCAGGTCTTCTCAGATCAGCCCAGCCTGTCAGGCAGCACAAGCAGCTGCTTGAAACATGAACAGAGAGAGCAATCATGTCCTGACTCTTCCCAGCTTACTCTCCCATCACTGGGACATCCTGTGCTCATGTCCAAAAGCCTGGACTCTTGCAGGTTACTACAGGCCAATGTAGGCTACAAGTC